GCTCCCCTGACGGGGCGGGCCGCCCAAGGGGAATGGCCCCAGCACCCTCGTTTGCCAACTTGTATAATGTATTGCCAGGCATATAAAAAAAAAATCAAGCCATTCCCCTCGCCTAAAAGTCCTACAGAGGCTGTGCTTTCTTGGTCACACTTTAGTGCTTAGGGCCGGCGTTTATCTTTTGGGCTTCTCTGCCATGAAAAGGGTTTGTTACAAAGTAGTTTGTTAATCCTTTAAAACTGAGAGACTTTTTTTTTTTTTTTTTTGCACTTGTCGTTGACACTTACTTACTGCTGATATTGTCAGTGGAGGACTACTACTGGCTGCTGGTAAATCAACAACTCACATCATTATCAAAAGAAGAGATTAAAGTTCAGCCAGGTAATAGAAAGATTTGTAGAAGAAAAATGAATCTGTTTCTGGAATTTCTGCTGTTTTTAGCAGTACTAAGCTACTCCTACTTAGAAGCTTTTTTGAAACTTTTCATTCCTGTGAAGAGAAAATTGGTCTGTGGAGAGATTGTTCTGATTACTGGTGCTGGCCATGGAATAGGGAGAGCTACTGCCTGTGAGTTTGCCAAGCGTCAAAGCAGACTGGTTCTGTGGGACATCAACAAGGTAAGGTTAACATTCATGTCTTTATTCACTAAGCCCTGAAACTACTATTGTTAAACAGACAGGAAAGTTTTCAGTAGTCGCATACAAATCTCCACCTACTATGTCCACTTACATCTGCTTACGGGTCAGGGCACTAACTGGTACGCTGAGTGAGCAAAGCTTTGACGCTACGTCCTTTGAAAAGGACGTAGGTGTCTGATTCCCATGGTTTAATCGAGAGCCCATGGTTAATCAGTATGGTTCCTTGTACAGCTTTTCAAAGAATACCTCCAACTGAGAGGCACAGTGATCAGGAAGAGGCTGGTAGAACTGCTGTTCCAGCTGGCAGGAAAAGAAACTGAAAACAGAAGAGTGTTTCTACAGGAGGGTAGGACAGGTTCTGCCCTGCCATTTCTCTAATCCTATATATTTTGCATATGTTGCTGGAAGAACAACATGCCAGCGTGTATCATTGTGCTGAACTGAATTGGTTTGCGCCAACAGCCTTTTGGTGCTGTTGTATGTTGTAGACATGCCCTTGTTAATTTTTACACTAGACCAAACTCTCATTTTAGATTATTTGATTAGATATGAAAATTATCTTAACAAATGGAGACTGGATAGATAAAATACACAGAATGTTGTTCGGTAAGAATAAAGACATAGTACTCAATATAACAGTAATCAACAACTGTACAGAGAGGGAACGAGTGGCTAGACAGCAGTGCACAGAAAAGGTTTCTGACACAGTGGATGAGAAACTGAAGATGAGTTCATGATGTCAACCTGATGCTGGGGGTGGGGGAAAGAAAGAAAGCATGATAGTGGGATATGTAAATAAGAAAACTGTAAAATTTTCAGTGTTCTTTTGTGCCGTCCGTTACAGATAAGACCATACTTAAAGTAGCATGCCCATATTTGGGCATCACTTCCATGTTCTTCAAAAAAGATGCAAGAGAAGGAACACAACATAACAGAACCTGAGCCATGATGGAAATCTTTAAGATTGTGATTTCTTTCTTTCTTTTCTTTTAACCTCAAGAAATAAAGACTCAAGGGGGGAGAGGCATTACACCAGTCTTCCTACATATGAAAGGCTGCTGCACAACAGAATGTTATCCATGTTCACTGGAATGCGAGGGGAATAAATAAGTTTAAATTTGTAGCAAGGGAGGTTTAGCTTTGGTACTAGGAAAAATATTCTAATGGTGATGATAAGTAGACACTGAAATACATTGCCAAAGTAGGCAGTGTATCCTGGAGGTCTTTAGAACATTTTAAATAAATGATAGATGATGTGGAAGGTCATAAACAGTTTGACCCTGTTGATCCTGCTTTGAGGCTGAAATATAGGCTAATTATTTCTTTCATTTTAATGTAAAATGTGGGCATCTTCACAAGTTCCGCTTCCGCTCTAGTGATCACATTAAAAAAAATAAAAGAACTGCATTTTATGAGGGGTGTTATTCTGTATGAGTTAGGGCGCTGTGAGACTTGCTTCCTTGCTCAAGCCTCGTAGGAAACTTACTTGGAAAAGCCTTCATTCCCAGATGCCATGAACCTTAAGCAGCAGCTGGGTGCTGAGGTGGGACAGTTAGAGACACCCACCCTAGGGTCCTGTATAACTTTTGTCAAATAAGCAGATATCGCAGGCCATTTGTTATCTGGGTCTTGTCACTTCACTATTCCCAAGTCATGTGACTTTCTGTCACCTTCAGACACAGATAACAGCAAATTCCCTTCTACTTCCAACGTGCTGCATTGTTATAAAGGCTTTAGGAAATGCTTGAGTTGGTTTTGGGACTTGTAATTGTGCCTCCGGCCTGCTTGAATCATTTCAGTCTGTTATTCAGTGTAGCACAAAATTGTTTAGCCATTTCCAGCCAAGTTTATCTCCAAAATGTTTGTCTGAATGATGAAATGCCTAAAACACACCAATGCAGAGCAATGTAGCTGCATGCAAATAGTATCTTTTTATTTGTTTAGCAGCTCTGAAATTCCTGACTGCAGCCAAAACAGGTGGCAAACATCAATAGAAAAATCTGTGTATTTAGTTGTTCTAGTTAGACAAAGCACCAGTAAGTCAGGTGAAATAAATTCCTTTAGACTGAAATAGGAAAGAGTTCAAGACCAAAATGTGTGCCTGTTCCTAACCTAGCTCTGTGAATGAACTTTTGTTCCAGCTTGTGACTCAGGACAGAATTAGTTCTAATGGCATAATATTATTAATTCCAGTTAACCTGTAACCTAGAGTATGATTGATGTCATGTTTACCATCTGAGATAACTGCACTGGCAACTAAAAAAAAATCCTACAACATAAAAGACCTTAAATTTTTTTGGGAACTGAGCAGATGTTATATGGTATTACTGAGAGATGATGGATATGTTATCGTGACCATGAGCATTGTCAGTTTTGAGAAAACTAATTACACTATTTTGCTATGCACAGTACTGTCCAAATACAAGGTCATAGCTCCTCTGCACTTTGGATTGTATAGCCACAGCAATAGGGGTAGCCTGCTCCACATGTGGCATAACAAGTTCTCCCAGCTAAAAATCTGTAAAACCAGCATCTTTTATGAACGTGGAAGTTCTGTTGTTCCTTTGCAAAAGCCATTATAATCTATCAGCACGGTTTTCTCATCTAATGGGTAATATATGTTTGCACAAATATTTTTCTAACTTCATAGCCTTGCACCTAAACCTGCAGTTCTCAGTTTTATAGGTGTTTCTGAGATAAACCTGATTCCATAAAAACAAAACACAGTCAAGTAGACCGTTCATGTTTTTAAACCTGCCTTTTGAGCTGATAGCATTTAGCCCAGTAGTTCTTGGCTGAATTCCTACTAGCTGCAGAGGAACTGCAATCTGTGTGTCACTCTTCCTGATAAGTTGCAACCAGGGGAACATACATGTTTGGGCTGTGAAACTATGCATAAAAGTGGCCAACTTAAGTATTATTTTCAGCCACATCCTCTTCTAACTCATATCTCACTCAACACCTTTAAATTACTGAAGCTATACAGTGGAGCAGTCACTAGGCTGTTAGGGCAGGTGGGTATTGATTCTTGGATACCTGAAACAACATAATTCAAAAGCACAAACACGCCCAGGACTGGAAGAGCTCTCTTAAAATATAGTATTTCGTATGCTACAGTGAACAGTTTTGTCTAGAGCAATCTAGGTAAGGCCTCTGACCTGTTGTCCTATGTACAGAAGGGACACTTGGAACAGAAATGCAAACCTCTCAGGTCCCTCTAAGCAATGGCTCTGTTTGCAGCGCATTTACTTCAGCTGCAACCCCAGTTTAGAGATTCATCACCTCTCTTCAAATTAAGCTTTTTTGCCCTAAAACACTAGTGAACTTTTTTCTCTGGTCTTTTGTAGTAAAATGGTCTAAGATGTTTTTGACTGAAAATGTTTGAGCCTTTTTTTCTTTTCTAAGAATGGGGATGCTCTCTCTTCAGGGGCGGGACTATGGAGAAAATCCACTCAGAAACTGAATTACTTTTTAAAGGGATGGAAAGGACAGGGCTTAAAATAAAATAATAAAAAAGAACTAAGAAGACAGACGTTTTATACTTTTTATTCAGAGCAAGAAAAAAAATCATACTTGTTTCCAGGGAGTAGTCCCTGGGCTCTGACCTTCCACTGGAATCACACTTTCAGTCCTTTGTTCTGGACAGGCAACGTCCACGAACCCATCTTAAGAGCTCTGTTGCATCTTTGTCAACTACTGTTCTCATGTGAAATGTCTGTCTACATTTGTGTGCCATGGCGCACACCTCTCTTCTCACAACCAGTCAATATTGAAAAATGTAGGCCCAATTTTTTATATCTCAGAGGTGTAATCTAGACTTGTGTTTTAAGAGCTCTGCTTACAGTCATGCTGTCTGCCTGCTGTGCTTTAAAAGTAATTGCTCCCTTTGTATAGCCTGGGTAAATGTGCTTTAACCAAGGCAAAGTCACTCGTATCTCTGCATTCCCTTTCTAGCAGTCAGTCTATGTAAGTCACTAGTTTAAGGTCAGAATACTAGTCCTTCTAACGAGCCAGGCTACATTCCTTTCTCTGGGTAACCCTGAATGCTAAGTGGATAAAAACAGTTACACAATCTGGATACATCTTTAGCCTCTAACTTGTCTGTAGTGATGGTCAAAGGACAAAATGTGGTCAAGGTACAGTTGAGCAAGTCCATCTTTCTTTTTTCCTCTCACAGCATGGTCTTGAGAGCACAGCAGCAGAATGCAAAAGGCTGGGAGCCACCGTTCATGCCTTTGTGGTGGACTGCAGTAAAAAGGAGGAAATCTACAGTACTGCAGAAAAGGTAAGGGTGATAGGTACATATTGTAAGGTTTACCCAAACATGCTTGATTTTCAGAACAGTCTGGAAAACAAAACATGAGGTATATCTCTCAAATCATTCGAGTTCTTGAAATCATACCCCTTTTTGCTGCTTTCTGTACAAAGTGTGATGTAGCACTTCACATATTGCAGCCAGGCTCATCCTCTTTTGTAAGTCCGCTGCATATCATGCCTTTTTCAGAGTTTGTTCTTCAGACTTTAAAAGCCTGAAAGAACTTGTTCCTTTTACTGTCCTGTACAGCATACAGAGAGCACCGAGGACTTTTGAATAATTTTGAATTTGAGAGTATAAGTCAACTGGCTCAAAACATTCTGTGTGTTCATAGTACTGAATGTGACTTCAAAGAGCATACTTTGTCTGTGGATAGTGTGTAGAAGGCTATAAATACTGGGATTAATTAACAGCAGAACATCAGAGCTACAACAGATTTCATTATACCGTGTAATTCCTGCCAAATGTGGATACTTAGTATGATCTTGCTCTCCCCAAGAAACAATTCTAAATCTAAAATTAATTACAGAGCTACTTTAGTAATCTTTGCATTTTTTGATAATAAATGAGCAGCATCTTTATGTTCTCTCTGTTAAAAAGGTGAAAAAGGACATTGGCGATGTCTCCATCTTGGTGAATAACGCTGGTGTGATTACAGCTGCAGACCTGCTCTCAACTCAGGATCAAGAAATTGAAAAAATGTTTGAAGTGAACATTCTTGCTCATTTCTGGGTAAGGGACACTAGCATGTTGGTATCTTCATTTTTGTGTGTATAGTATTAAGGATATAAATTTAGACTAACAATTATTTTAAAATAATTGATGTGCTATGAAATTATCTTTCTGTTGTATATAGCACAGGTGAAGTACTAAATAAAAAAGCAAGTTGCTAAGTATGCTATAAATGAGAAGCAGGTGAACCCTATTCTACATTTAAAAGCTTGTGCAGTTCATTTACATGCCCTTCCCCTCCAGTACCACTGTGCCCATGTTAGGTCAAACATTTAATACACTCGGAATTCTCAAATGTGTGAGATAATATTACAGGAACCTTAAATTCTTGCGTTGCTTGATAGGAGTTATTCCCTAACGTTTTATTATTATACAGGCGTATCGTCTAGCTGTTATCAGATTTAATTGCGCACAGCTGCATATATGCCTCTGAAAGCAGTGAACATGACGTATTTGTATAATTACATTTTTTAAATTTGGCACTTCCTGATTCCCTCCTTGTGCATAATATGAAAAAAACATTAAACACCCATCTCATTTGACTGTTTGGAGACTGCTAATTAACTTCTTGCTGTTCTGAGCTTTGTCCAGTTTTTCCATTCTTTCTTTCTGTATTAGCCAACCAGTGACAGCCTTATTTGCAACACAGGTTGGTCTGTTCTGAAGGTGTATCACGGTCCCCTTTTGGGTCAGTTTGCACCTTTAGCCAGGCACAGAGAATCTGTAAGCAGGATCTAGACAGCTTAAAAACAACAGAAGAATTCTTTATTGGCTCACATACACAAAAGATGGCTGGGTGGTGCGTGCCTCTGAAAGGGTCTCTGCTGGCCAGGCAGGTGCAGGTTGGGCAGAACAGGGTTGGCCTCACAGCTCTTGGGTGCAGCTCCCTGGCTCCGATGACACTCGTGGCTCTGGCAGCTCAACCCCACGGCCCATGAGACTGCACTCATCCCCGACTGCACCCACCAGCCCGACTAGTCTCCCTGGGTTGTCTGCCTGTAGGATTGTATATCTTTCTGTATCAGTGTTTTCCCTCTTGGATTCCTGAACTGATACCGATGTCACAGTCCTGCCTATGTTATTGTTACCTTTCTTATCTCTTTGCAGTTTTTCTCACAGCTCTTTCTGAGCAGTCTTGAGTCAAGGTTATGCAGCTGAGCCGTATCAGAGCTGGGCCAGCTTGGGTCCTTGGCACAACAACAGCTAATCCCAGGGATGGGGTGGGGGGAAGATTTTAGCAGGGACTACAGAAATAAAGGGGTAAAGGTAGTAAAGACTTTTTGTTTGCAATGGAAGAAAAGAGATGCTACATAGTGACAAGAATTTTATTGTACATGCTTGTGTGAGACACTGACAGCATTTCTGCTGACGACTGAAACCTAAAAAACACCATAGGAAAAACATGAGCATCAGATTATGCTTACATTCTCCTTCCCTGAAACATCGGGGTTTTTTTTTTTTAAATAGGTTACAAATTGTACCAGCTGAAATTAGGAAAAGGTAGTATCTGTGTTTCTCAAAATCTTACATGGTACCAATCTTAGAGGCATATCATAGGGTGCAGCAACTGAAAAATCTAATTTCTTATGTTCTAAACGAACACATGCCATTATTGATAACATTAATCATTTAGATATAAATAATTGGTGTGGAATATGCCTAAGAAAATGTTCTCTCTCCCCGCCATTTCTGCCTTTTTTTATACTTGCAAGACAACAAAAGCTTTTCTGCCAACAATGATGAACAACAACTATGGCCATATCATCACAGTGGCTTCAGCAGCAGGTCATACTGTGACATCGTTCATGCTGGCTTACTGGTAAGTGACTCTAAAACTCAATCCCCTTCACTTTTTTTACATGTGTCTTCCCCATCAACAAACATAGCATAACAGAGATAATCTTCCAACTTAAAAAAGTGCTTCCAAAAGATGGTGCTAAGGGAAAAAAAAAGCCCAGCCTGTAAGTATGCATAGAGGTACCAACTGATTTGCTGATTGAATCAGGAGCGATCCTTCTATGGAGGAATAATGATGTGACAAATCAACTAATTAAAATTCATATTTTTCTTCAATATTTAGAAAGCGCATATGCTTGACTTTGAGAAGCCAGACTGCACCTTTCACTTTTATCATACAGTTTCTGTCTATGCACGGTCAAGTTCTAAGTTCCCTTCTTATAAAGCCTTCCCTTAAAAAAATCCAAGAATAACATTTAAAGTTGGGTGCTGTTAGCAACCTAACTGACCAACTCAGCGATTGATACATAGCCTGTATCCACTAGAAGCACATGAAACACTGAAAAAATTTGTGTTATATGGGCATAAGAACAGACATACTGGATCAGATTAAAAGTTTGTCTAGCCCTCTGTTGTAGTGGTTCAGGGTGGAACAGTCTTTCTTGTAATATGTTCCATCCCCTATAGCCATTGATGGCAACTTGATAACTCCTGAGCCAGGGTTTTACCTGGATTATAAGCTCAAATTTAATAGTATGAAATAAACATCTCTCTGATTCTACTTTCTTTTGTAGCTGATGATTTATTTTGTTGGCTTCCACAAATTTCTGTGGCAATGAGTTCCTCAGTGCTGTATGCACAATGGTTCTTTACTGTAAAACTTGCCTGCGACTGTCACATGATGCTTCCTTGTGTTACAATAAACAGTAGATAGTTCTCTATTTCTACTGTCCACACACTTCTTAATTTTACAGACTTATCCTGAATTTCATCTTCAGTTTTTTTTTCCCATAGTGAGAACTTATAGACATATCAGGCTCACCTTGTAAAATAGAAACTGCACCTGGTATTCGAGAAAGGCAAACTCCACAGACTCATGCATATTTACTTCTTTTCTAAGAACTCCTAACATTCATCTGCCTGTTTACTACTGAGCCAACTTTTTGAAAGAAGTATCCACCCCATTTCCATAATTTCTTTCCTAAGCAGCAATATCTAACTCAGAACCCTACTGTGGCATAGGCAAAGTTAGAATTAGTCCCTTCCACGTCTCTCAAATGAATGACTTCTTTTTGCCCAACCAATCAGTATTGCTGTGATCTTTCAGTTAGTTTAGTTGGCATACAGTTAGAAACAGTATTCCTGCCTTCGCATTTGTGCTTTTTTTTTTCCCCTGCAGTTCAAGCAAGTTTGCTGCAGTTGGATTTCATAAAGCTCTAACAGAGGAGCTGTCTACACTGGGGAAGGATGGAATAAAAACATCTTGTCTTTGTCCAGTTTTTGTAAACACTGGCTTTGTGAAAAATCCAAGTACAAGGTAATGTTGCAATAGAAGAAAAATTTCAAGCCTTTGCCTTTGCTTCTTTGAATCAATGTATTACGTATTTGTCCCTCCTTTAGATCTGGTACTCAAACTGAGTATATAAAAATTGAGATAAATTTGTATATACAATTGATTAAAGAAAATCTGCACAGTCACTTAATCCACATAGTAGTTGTATTTGAACTACCTGTGTTCATGAGCCTTCATGTTCCACTGCCCTTCTCCCCCCCACACACACCATGTTTTACTATTGTGGCTCTTAAATGCACGTTTTTCCTTTCATTTTAGGCTTGGAAATGTTTTGGAGATTGAAGAAGTTGTGAACAAACTGATGGAGGGAATACTGACCAATCAGAAAATGATTTTTGTTCCATCAAATCTAAGAATTGCATTATTTTTTGAAAAGTGAGTAGCAAAAAAAAAAAACTATGACTAAAAACATATCCTAGATAACTACATCCAAGTGTACAAATTTGTAAGTGTAAAAATTCGTTTCAAGCCTCAGATTTCAAGCTTTTTTGTAGGAGAGACTGCATTTTCCTCTCATAGTAGTAAAAGATCGGGTTTGTGAGCATAAGAATCTCCTTGTATAGGATTTATTTCCAGGCCCCAGAAGTAAACATTCACCTTAGATTATTATACTTATTCAGTATTTGACACCGGTATACCTTTCTTCACTTGATAGTGCATATAGGAGAAATTTTTAATTTTTTAAACAGCATACCATCTGAAATATGTTAGTACATGAGAAGAACAAGTCACAAGGCAATGAAATAGAACAGTGGTTCTTTCCAATGACACCAGTAGATTTTATACACAGAAAGATTTTGTTGAGTCTTATTTTAGTTCATTATGGTTCACTTTTTCAAAGTAACTCTGTAGTAGTGAAA